GGGTCGATTTTTTACGTGCATCCGGCGCAAATCCTAATTTCCAGAATTCTACATTTCAAGTGCACATGGATCCTGTAGAAGAAGAAGAAGAAGGGTCTCTGCCGGAATTGGGCTTAAACCATCTGAAGCTTGAAGAGAAAGAGACAATCGAAAGATTGGTAAGAAAATCCAATTCTTTGTTTAATGACAAACTTGGTTTTTGTCAGGTAGTTAATCATTCCATAGATACAGGTAATGCCCCTCCAGTCCGGTCGAAGCCCTATGGATATGACAAAGTGAAAGAAGCAATTATTGAAAAACATATTGTAAAAATGCTAGAAAACAAAATAATTGTGCAAAGCACGAGTCTGTACGCAAGTCCGGTGGTCCTTTGTAAAAAAAAGAACAGGCTACTTCCTGAACACCCAGACGCGTATAGGTTTGCAGTTGATTATCGTATGTTAAACAGTATGACAAAATATCCCATGTATCCCCTACCAATAACTGACGAAATAATTAGAAAAATTCGCTTGAATAAATTCATGACAACCCTAGACTTAACTTCAGGTTACTTTCAAATCACCGTTAAACCGGAGGATGTCCAAAAGACCGTGTTTATTACAAAATCAGGCGTCTATGCCTTCTTAAGAATGCCCCTTAGTTTAAGTGGAATGCCAGCTATGTTTCAAAAAGCTATGGACATAGCCTTGAAGCCAGTTTTAGGTAAAAGTATAATTATTTATCTTGGCGATATCATAGTTACCTGCAAACATTACAGGAACATTTGGAAGAAGTTTTTGCCTTACTTAACGAGGCCAGTTTCAAAATAAATGCAAGTTCGCGGCAAAGGAATTGCAATATCTTGGATACAAAATTTCTAAAAAGGGCATAGAGACTGATGACTCAAAAATAAAGTCAATTAAAAATTATCCCACCCCAAATATGGCTAAGAAATTGTCTTCATTTTTGAGCTTATGTTCCTATTATAGAATGTTTATAAAGGATTTTGCGAAAATAGTTGAGCCTCTTCTAGTGCTAAAAAGAAAGAAAAGTAGATTTTCTTGGACAGCCGAGGCGAACACCGCTTTTGAACAACTAAAGAATGCCCTAATCAATGCCTCAGTCCTTAAATTCCCAGAAGGCAAACAATGTCTAGAGATTTCAGCGGATGCATCTGATTATGCAGTTGGAGCGGTGCTCTCCCAAAATGGGAAACCTATAGCTTTTTTTCGAAAACCTTGAATGCTACCCAGAGGAACTATTCCGCCACTGAGTGAGAAATGCTCGCTGTCTTAATAGCAGTTCAGAAGTTTCGTGTCTACTTCGGAAGTTCTCCGATAACGGTCTACTCAGATCATGTGGCAGTGGATCGCTTGTATTCAGGAAAAAATTTATCGCCTCGCTTGATACAGTGGACTTTAAAATTACAGGAATTAAACTTAATCATAAAACACACACCAGGAAAAGAAAACGTAGTTGCCGATAGTTAGAGAGAATCAGTGTTTCTGATTTACGCGCGTCTGCATTTTGGCTACACTCTCTCTAAAAGCTGTTATTATGCTCGGCCGTACTCAGGCCCTTGATAAGCTTTGTAGTCAAATAGAGTTAAGGGGCCAACTCGATTAGAATCTTGATAGCTTTGGCTATATTTCTTTAGTTAATCTTAGTTTTAGCTTAATTCTTAGTCTGTGTCTGTCAAAGATGAATATGATGGCATCCTGTAATTATCTGTTTTCACTACTTCTCTCCCACAATGTTTTTTGCTTTTTGCTCTTGATATGGCTGCTAAATAGCAACATATCCCCTTTTTCCATAATATACTAGATCAGAACACAATGCACACTTCACTTTGCCACTGATATCTACTTTCTGAATGCAACTGCCAACGACCACTTAAATTTCCTTGTCCATTCATATGAATTTTTACGATGTTTTTCAGCCACGCAAACCTGAACTTATTTTTTCTATATGCCGAGCTTTGTGCTCATGATTCGGATTTAAGATATTCATACTGAAAAACTTACAACAACAAACAAAAAAGAAATAACATAACGATCTACGTTCCGAATTACAGTATGCCACTTTACACACGCTAAAACTCGCACGTGCTCTGGATAACATCAGTAGGGTATCCATATGACTGAGATGGCGCCAGCACCGATCACTGAAATTATTGAAGTCAGCTCTCATTTGACAGTTGCTTGCTCTTCTTTGATTTGATATTCATATGCATCTAGTTCTGACTTTCCACATAAGCCCCACCTACTTCGCTTTGATGTGAAACAAGTGATCTCTGGCATGACGTAAAGTTTTTTTTACAAAGAAAATAGGAAGAGAGAGAGCATGGCCTCCGTTTACTTCCCTTCCCCCACATTTGCCGGTCGGAATTTCTCAACGGTTCTGCATCGATCTCAGAAACAGCCCGGGTGACGTTCAAAAAAGCGGAATTCCACGAAGACACAGAAAACTTTCATGCCCGAGAGAGTCTTTGAAATACAATGGAAGGCTGGTGTTTTTTTTTTTTTTTTTAGTTAAATGCTGCTGGACCGAGTAGTGCGGATGCTATGAGAGAATTCCCGCTATGTCTTGAACAGACATCAGTATCGGTTTTTCTGATGACTATGAAGTGGAACTATGAGAAAATTCCAGTTGTGCTTTGAACAGGCATCTGTATCGGTTTCCCGGCAATGATGAATTGGAACTATGAGAAAATTCCCGTTGTGCTATGAACAGACATCAGTATCGGTTTTCCTGACAATGATGTATGGAACTATGAGAAAATTCCCTTGTTCTTTGAACAGACTTCAGTATCGGTTTTCCTGACAACGATGAAGTGGAATTAGAAGAATAATCCCGTTGTGCCTGGAAATTTCAGTATTGGTTTTCCTGACAACGATGAAGTTATGGCCGTTTTTGTTTTGAAGAACTGGGATGGGATCCGGGCTGCTCCTCGAGCCCCTCAGACTTCTGTACGCGGATTTAGTGAGTGAAATTTTTTTTCCTCTAATTTTGTTATTTTCTACTAGTGTTTTGTCTAAATAGAGGAATTGAATTGATTATTTTTAAATGTTTAATTTCGATAATTCTTTATTTAATTTCGATATGTCTTAAAATAAATATTTCTGAAAAGAAATTTTCACTGAAGTAATTGTGATTTCAGTATTATATGTGATTGTGATTCAGTCTGTGATTGTGATTCAGTGATTTCAGTCTTCTTTATTTAATTTCGATATGCCTTAAAACAAATATTTCTGTAAAGAAAGTTTCACTGAAGAAATTGTGATTTCAGTATTATATCAAAGAATTTAATATTTACTAAATGTCAGAAGATAAATTGTTCTCTTTTCTAAATGTGAAATTATTAATTAATGATTTGTAGTATACACACTCATCCTCGAGATAAGTGAACAAATGAGATATTATTGAAAAAATGTTTTGATTATGTTTGGTAGGGGTAGTCTGGCCAGCTATCTTAAATTATAATGTGTGGGAATATTCAATAAATGTGTTTATTATTTTTATTATTGTATGTTTCTTTTGAATTTAATTGTGGTCTACAGTAGGTACCCATGTGATCCTTACGGAAACATGGTTATTTTATCGAAACTGGGTAACCATATTGCGGTAGTAGAAAAATCAGTTTTAGGGGTTTTATGACTATACGATTGGCCTACTTAATTTATATTTGTTGAGTAGACTTCTTAAATGTGAGATGTATCTTTCCATGGTGTTTTGAAGAGATCTGCGTGGTATTTTAAATGTTAAGGGTTTAAGGTTATCTCTAGTTTTGTATTGAAATTTGCGTGTTTTCAGGTTGAAGATCTAAATTAGTTTTATTTCAATGAGAGATAGCAGATTGATGATTTTGTTGCTGAAGTGCATTTTTCACATTTTGGTTTTGACAAATAATCTTTATTTTACCAAAACACCAGGGAGGATATTTTTCACCTCCCTTGATTTAAAGTGTTTTTATTTTGATTATGAAAGTAATTAAGTAGTACTCAGTTTAATTTTAGTTTGAGTCATTTTTTTTATGTCGCGGCACCAAAGCAGAAGTTAGTTAACAAATCAGTTTAAGAGTAAAATTGTAAAGGTAATTTTTCCCTTTTTTCTACGCAACAATATGTGCTGAATGTATTTTGGCAACACAGTTTATTGCCTTATACACAGTTGTGTAAAAGAGGATATAAGGATAATTTGAAATAATCCAATTTTCTACAGAAAAATACATGCACCAACATTGTTTGTTAATCACTATTAAATTAAATATGCTTTATCTCCTATAACAATGCCCTTGCTTTCAAAGTCTTAAAATAAAATGTCTCAAGTATCCTTCTGCTTAATTCTTTGTTTAAAGAAATAAGATATATGATAAGAAGATTTACTTGTGTATTTTTCAGCTTAGCTTTTTTAGCACAAGGCTCTGAAAATTTTATCCATGTAACTTCAACTTTTTCAAGACCTTCAGAAAATGAGTTCCCCTAAATTTTAAAATGTATTCATTTATACAGCAATTATTTCCACTTTACTGTTTGATCTGTTTGTGGATTTGGGGTGCATGAGCTTTGACTGAAGAAGCAATAATAGTGAAGAGCTTCAAGAAAACAGAAATATCTAATGCTCTTGATAGTTCTGAAGATTATTGCACATGCAAGACAGACTGATCAATGATGAAGACAATGACAATAGTAATGACAGTGACGACTTGCAAGCTATAGCAAACGACAATTCAAACAGCATTAAATGATTTGATACCTAGTGAGTAACAGTGGACTACAATAAGAATGAGTGAGATTCAGCTGACTTTAATTCTTTCCTTTTCTTTTTCTTTTTTGTATAAAATGCAATTTAAATATTCATATTTCTTCTTAAAGAGATGCATTGCAGTTTAACTACTCTTGAACAAACTAAACTGGATGATGAATAGATCCATTTTTAATAAACTGGAGTATATTCAATGAATATAACAATTAATGCATATAATTAAACATTAAGAAACTACTCAAAATTTTAAAGCTTACCCGAATAACATTACAAGGCTTAAAAGGATTTCCTATAACAACATCATCATCCTCTTCATGAGCATTACATCTTGCTTCTTCTTTGACCCGATTTTCAGCAAGCCTCTCTCTACATAATATATCAAATGCATATAACTAATATAAAAGACTAAAATACACTAACTTAAAAAAAAAAAAAAAAAAAAAAAAAAAAAAAAAAAAAAAAAACATAGAATAGCTTAATTATAAAAACAACTAAAAAAAGTTAAGTACCTGTTTAATCTACTGGACATTATTTATATAAATTAGGATAATAATTACAGATAAGATGTAATATTGAATTAATGATGGAAATTTAAAATTATCTTTATTTCTTCATTGAGACTACATTCAAAAACAGTTTAACATGTGTAAATATTTTATTAGTTATAAAAGTTTATATTTATCCTATAAGTTTCATCTGTTAAAAAAAACTATTCTAAGATTTATTGCAGAGTAATAACACCTTTCTTCTCGTATTCTTTGCACACGTTGCATCCTTTCTGCTTGTTCTTTTTCCTCTTGCTTCTTTTGTTCAAGCATTTCTTTCTCAACTCTTTGATGCAGTTCATCAAAATCTCTTGAGATGAGACCAATCAACCAATTAAATCCTTCCTGTATTCCAGGGTCCTTTATCTTCACTTCATCATATATGGCACATGAGGCTTCCTTAGATATTAAAAAATATATATATGAATCGCTAAGAAACACAAAAAATAGATGATGAAAGGAAACACAGATGGAAAGAATTACATTGCAAGCAATGGAGAACAAGACTTAAGGCCTTATGCTTACAAAAACTAGCGTGAAAAGAAAATGATGATGATAAATCTAACATGCCTGGGGAAAAAAAGCAGCTATTCAATTCCATACCTCATTTAGAAGCTTCTAAACCATAAAAGCAGATGTTTAGACAGTCATATGAAATTGTAGATACTTCTGTTAAAATGATATACTCCTCCAATAAATAGTACCCTAATGTATATATATTGTTTTGTGCATATGAGTTTGTAACATATCTAATGCACACAGAATTCATGACAGACCAAAAGAAACACTTCACCAGTTCTGAAACTTTCCACAAAAATACCCATACAGCTCTTCACGGTATTACAAAGTGCAATGCATCATTACACTTCAAACTACTAAAAATGTTAATGGTATGGAAAGACATCTAAAAGGTAAAGCTATCATGGAGATATCTCAATATTTTGTAGTTATCTCCGAACTAACAACTGAGAGCAGATACGCTCTCTGATCTTATATAGTTTTCAGCCGGCCACTGAGAAATCTCTAGCACTTCTTAAAATTACTGGAAGACATACGAGGACTGGATATGATTACAGCTACATATGCAATCAACTACAGTTATTCAGTTGCAATACTACAAGGACTGGACCAAAATGTAGACAATAGTCGCCAACTCAGGTGACTTTTGGCGATTTCTCGCCAAAATCGTCCCCAGCTTGGCAGTTACTACAATATCTCACCAAACTAGCAAGTTAGCCATTTACTCAATGTTAAATAAACTTGCCCTGCATTCTTATTTTAAAGCATCACCTCTTTAGATTTTCATGTTACATTATTCTTTAGATTTTCATGTTACATTACTAAAACATATACTATAACTTCACTAAAATTATTTGTTAGATACAAAATTAACATTGCCTCCTTCCCAATGACTGCACACCCTGGGCAGTACAATCCCTGGACAGGAAGCCATACTTACAACTATGGAAAATCAATGCTATACTAGACTAATAATTTCAGTGAATAGGATAAAACAAATCATATCAATAAATGCATAAATTTACAAATTTATATACCAATGGGCCCATGGTCTTAGTATACTATTTACATTATATACCCTATTTGGACTACATACTATGGCCATAGTAAGGGACTAGTCTGTTGTAATAAACAATGTTAGGCTTAGTATTAGATAATTTGTGGATTTAACTAAAATTTACGAATCTGAAGATCTATTGCCAATTGGTTGCAATTAAGTTTAATAATTTAATTTTGCATTTAAAATTTTAAATAGCCCCCTTCAAACAGAAAAGCCTTCTGATAGGCACATGTAATGTGCTAAGTTGTCTGTGGCAACAGCATGCTTACTGAAATAAAAATTACCATTTAATCTGCCTCGACTGTCAGTTTCCTATTCATTATGGATGCATATTCTATGGAATACAATTTTTACTGAACATAATGGATTCAACATTCTATGCTATCTACATACTGTATCATCAATACTGCTATTTTCCTTATATATATATATAATTTATTTCCTAAACAGTATTGATTAATTGATTATATTATCTCCTAAGTTTAATTAAAGTAGAATTATTTTAAAAGTGTGCATCCATACTGGTAAGTTATATTTTGAAAGATGTTTTGAAGTAATTTGAAAGTTGATTTAAGATCATACAACACATATATATATATATATATATATATATATATATATATATATATATATTAATTTAATTTTTTTTACAATAAACCAGTATCTATATCTAAACAGCTGCCAAAATATATTACACTACTCTTAAAGCAAGTAACATAATTCTCCATAATTCAATAAAAAAATTATGTCCACTGCAAGTTTTAGACTTTTAACTGCAATAAATCTATTAACAGTTTTTCTTAATATATAACAGCTTTTTGGCATAACTATTATTTTGGTAAATATAAATTTCAACTGAGTGAAATATATCAGTCAGTTACATTCTTACACAAATTAAAAGCATAATCTCACAAAGAAAATAAAAATCTTAATAATACTTTAAAAAGAAATTTATCTGCAAATAAAATCCTATAAAACAGCCATTTTTAACCATACAACAGTACTACCTTAATTAATGTTTTACTGCCTCAATTGTGATTTTACCAATACTAAAAATGCAAAAGTCTAAAATTAAAGAAGAGAATGTATGATAAAAAATATCTTAATTGAACTCATTAAAGAATACTAATAAATTAAATTAATTAATTAAATTTCTTGTCATCAAATGTACCAAAACGTTTTTAAGATATATAACATTTTTTTAAGCATTTTAAGTAATGCACTATTGTTATTTGAATGAAAATCAAATTATGCTGCATTAGTAATTAGTTCTACTATAGCTATCTAGCTCAGTTTTAATTTATTTGCACTAAAACAGAAATATTAACATTTTTCATATTAGTAAAAATACAGAATAAGTAAAAAACTTCATAATGTTGAAATCAATGCTAATGTGATGACGGGAAGTAAAATAATGGAAATGAATGAATGAAGTAAATTATAATATGTATTACATTTGATTATGTTGATATACAGTGTTTTAGAAGATAAACAGTAAAAATGTGATGATTGCATACATTACTTCATACATTAAGTTCCATTATTTTTACTTCCCATCATCACATTACTATAATTTCAAAAATAATTCTTTTACTCTCTTTTACCACCTACAATTAGCCACCAAAATCTAAAATTCATAGCTCCAAACAACCAAAATTATCTACCAAACTCCAAAAAATACAAGGAGGTAAAGGTACTTTTTTATTATTATTTAAAACTAATCCTACTATTCTATACTTAGGTATTTTTTTCTTCAAATATATTGCCTTGATTGTTTATACATATTTCAAGTTCCACATATACATATTGTTCTTAGAGATGTTAGGTAATATATTATTAAAAATATATGCAGAGCTTGGCTTGCTAGCAAGTTTAATTAAAATGAAGACAAAAATAAAGAGGATATAATTTAAAAAAATTATTTTGAGAGATGGCTTTACTGAAAAACTATCTAACAGCTGCTTTGTATTTAAATTTTAAGTGAAAAAAATTATATGAGAATCAATATCAGAAGTTAAACTGTTAGAAGTAAATTATTTTAGATGCTTAGTTAAGGGCAATATAAATCAGAATAATGAGATGGAATAAAATAACTTACCACCCTTGTAGGGCATTTCTGTTCATTAACTAAAACTTCTAAATCAAGTCGATTGACAAGCTCTGCTTCATCTAGTGCACCAAATATATCTTGCTTATTAACTAATCTAGATAATTAAAATGTTTAATGTGAGCATATCTTTTAAACAGATAAAAAATGTAAAAATAATCATGAGTTTCTGAAAATATTAATAAGAAAAATTAGCTTTTTACTGTTCATCTTCTAAAACACTGTATATCAACATAATCAAATGTAATACATATTACAGTCAAAAGTCGTTAATTCGGACACCCATAATCCGGACCTCAAAGCTAAAATCTTTCTGCGCATGCCTTCATAGGCGTTTACACGTGCGCGGAAGACCTTTACGACTGCGCATATGCATCTGCGCAAGCGCAGAATATGTTTTCGTGTGCGCGTTTAATGTATAACAGATGGTATAAGCTAAAATTATCTAATTATCTATTTCAGTTAATGTTGATGATTACGTTGTTCCTTAATCTTCGAATTGGATCTGGCTTATTACTTTTTGCAGACTGTAAGAGCAATTTTATAAAAGTAAGCTTGAACTTTCGATTATGTCAAATAGAATTTCCGATGCTGGAGCTCCCAAAGGATCTACAAAACGAAAGTATGTTTTGATGTCCATCAAACAAAAAGTGGAATTGCTACAAAAAATGGATAAAGGCATATCCTTTGTTTATCTAACCGTTCCGAAATCTGTTTATCAATTCACGCTGCTCTGCGTGGGGGGGGGGGATGTCGCGGCGCGCAATGAACTGGAAGTTGATCTGTCAGCACTATCGTTATCTTCAGGGCAGATGTTTTTATTTTATTCGGCTTATAATTCCTTACTAAATGTAGTATTTCATCTCGATGTACTCCGTCTTTGATATGATTTAAATCAAATTCCTGCTCATTATAAATATCACAAATACAAATCAAATAGTTTTCTGGTTGCAATTTTCTAATTTCGGCTATGCGTAATGTATGCTTTACACATGCGCGCGTTGAAAGAAATGTTTAATAAAGTAAACAAATAAATATTAAGCTTCTTTTTTTGTAAATTTTGATACCCTTTAGATCATAATTGCTCATTATTTTATAAATTACGGTTTCATATTTTTAATTTTATAATTTCTGCATGCCATCTTACCAGATTTAAACTGATGATCTATAATCCGAAAAAATCCATAATCCGGAATCGCCGACGATTCCGGATTCAAGACTTTTGACTGTATAATTTACTTCATACATTCATTTCCATTATTTTACTTCCCATCATCATATTAGCATTGATTTCAACATTATGACGTTTTTTTACTTATTCTATATTTTTACTAATATGAAAAATGTTAATATTTCTGCCTTACTGCAAAAAAATTAAAACTGAGCTGGATAGCTATATTAGAACTAATTGCTAATGCAACATAATTTGATTTGTCATTCAAATAATAATAGTGCATTACTTAAAATGCTTTAAAAAATGCTAATCTGCTGTTAAATGCCACAATTGATTGCCAACAGAAAAATTAAATTTACAATTAATAAAAAAATATATTTCTAATGCCTTATACTAAATACCTCAACTATAAAACTATTCTTAACAATTTAGTGTTACAGTAGCCATCATGAAAGAAAATTATCACATCTGCTGTTAACTGCAACAATTGATAGCCAACAGAAAAGTAACCCTACTTAACTGCTAGCATAGGCAACATAACCATTCCAAACAACTGTTTTGAATATAGGCAGTGGTTGTGGATTTACTGCTTGTAGAATTTAGTGCATTATTATTTTTAAGCAGAGGCTTGCCTGTGGCAACATCTACAGATCGAATCAGAGGTACAATGCAAGAGTCTTATGTTGGCCTTAGAGGACAAAACTTGAGTCTGTGTCATGGGAATGGAATTTTTTACCATTAGGACAAAAGAGCTCTTGTGCACTAAATTCAAGAATTACAACTCTTTGAAATTTACAAGGTTGGCTGGCTCCATGACCACTACATACCTGACAACCTCTAAAGATAAAAATTCAGAAGATTTCTCCCCCAAATTCAGAAGATTTCCCCAAAATTCAGAAGAACACGAAGAATTAATATCATGCTTTGATATTAAATAATAATTTATAAAAATAGAAAAAAGAAAATTGTACTTACATTAGTAAATCTCAATTAAGTAGTAACTAAAAATTTATTAGGAAACATAAAACAAGAGCTTAATGTTACACAAAAAAATTATTGCAATGAATTTAGAGTGCATTTTTTGGCTTTAGCCAAAAATTCTTTGGAAATTCGGCTTTGTAGGCAGGCCGAAAATATTGAGAATACGGTTTTTTTAAACTCATTTCGTAACGACGATGTATTAAGAAAATGCGTAGCACATGCAAACAAAAAACAAACAGAATGCGGCAATCCACGCTCGCTGAGTAATTCCCTTGCTGCTGAAGCAAACGCGAAAAAAATAACCTGGCGCCCGCAAAGAAAAGAGTGGGAAAAACAAGTTCAGCGCATTGGATTGGCTGGTTAAGCGACGAGTTGGGAGAAACCGCAGGTTACTGGATTCGAAGTAGTCGGTAGTTGGCGGTAAAACACGATGCAATTGGCGAAAAATTCTAAAATTTCGACAAAAATCACTAAAAACACTTGAAAAAGGAAAAAATCGTAAAAAATGGATTACGATCGTAAAATCGTAAATACAAACGCATTTTCGTAAAAATTACGAAAAATTCGTAAAAGTTAGCAGGTATGCCACTATAAATATTTTTATCCGCTTCTTACACCATCTAATGAAAGGAAGTTCTTCAGGCTATAAATACATAAACTGCACCATTCTTAAAAATGTTAGCAGGGTATAATAAAACCAATTTTCAAAATAAAGGTTTTCCTTCTTCCTGCAACTTTTAATGTTGCATCTTTAAACTGCTTTAATCAACAATATACAGGACAAAGATCCAGACTCATCAACTTTGCCAATTTCAGATTCTTCTGGATCTTTAGTTTAAATCCAGTAAGATGAAATGTAGAAATTATAAAATTAAGAATATGAAACAGTCGCTAATGAAATAATGAAGCATTTCTGACCTTAGGAATCAAAATTTAAAAAAAAAAAAAAAAAAAAGCTCAAAATTTACGTTGTTTATTTTATTAAACATTTCTTACAGTATAAGTTGTTCAAGGTAGTTAGTTCATTTTTGGTGCTAGTACTTTTTCTTTGATTTTACACATATACGAAAATTCTCATTCATTTACAAAGTGCCAATGTTCAAATCCAATAGCTGCTGCATTGAGAATTCCCACTGAATTTTCAATACAGACTTTTTTCATTCTCAGAAACTTCTCTGTTATCGTCTTTACTATTGGTAGCAACATTTTCTGGATTTAGGACCATGCTCCGTATTTTGTCAATTGTCAGTTGATTGATGGTTGTCATCGCAATAGAAATTTGTTATATCTTTCATTATCTTCTCCACATTTTTTCACAAATTCTGTTAATTACCTTTTTGTTTGCATTATCTGAAAACCTTGATATTTGCGCTGTCATTGTAAAGCTTAGATAGTGTCTGCTAAATACTACTGCTGAAGAATGATGAGACTGTTGAGGGATATGTTGCTCCACTAAATTTAGCTTGCTTCTAAGGAAGTTAAGCCTCAATTATATTAATTTAATTATTTATTACATTTACATATATTTTCTCCATATGCTTAAGGTTTAACTGAGTTCTGAACATGTACTTAAGATTTATCAGAATAATAAAGCAGTATTTTAATGCAAACTGTATGTGTAATCTTTTGAGCTATGAATGCCTTTGTTTCTATTTTTTGCATATGGAAAGAAATTTCTATTTGTCAGCATAACAACACTTCTCAGCACAGTTAACTGAAGTCTGTAATTGTCATCAAGCGCAATGTCAACATAAAAAGTTACAATGCTATTTGGCATTTAATTACCAATATTTTTTTAATTGTTTTAGACATCACTGCATAAATCATTTCTAAAGCTGCCATGACTTGTTAGTCATATAAGTATGAAAGCAAAACAATGATTTGCCAGGTTAAAATCAGGCATGTGAATTACTCAATAGGTGTAAAATCAGTGATGAATTTTTTAGTGGTTGGGTTTCAGATGTATGCCAATCAAAAAGGTGGCTATGAAGCCAAATTATTGAGTAGACAGATTTAGGTCAATTAAATTATAGTATTTCTTCAATGTGGATGTATTTTAGCTCCAAAGAGAAATTAAGAAACTCTCTAGATGTTTTATTATGAAAAAAATAGCTATGTATGCATTAAATATTAAGCATCTGCAAGAACAACACACTTTTCTCAGAATCTATTTTCTCTCTTTTCGCAAAAAAAATTTTGAAAAAGAAAAAAGAAAGAAAATTGCTGGTGGCCTGGAATCCAGATTTCAGACTTTTTCCTGTATACTGCATGTTACATCTAAACTCTGGACTATCAGCACCATTACATCTAAACTCTAGAATAATCTGGATGAGAAAAACACAGTTAGAACTCTGAACCTGAACTGAAATGACTGTAAAAAGAAGAACCTGTAATCTTTAAGTAAATGTAACCTAATAATTGTATATAAATCTAATCTGTTTATATTACACAGAAGTGTCAGTCTTAGTGCACAATGTTTGAAGTTTAGATATGTCAACAATCCGAATGGAATGAGCTCAGCTCCTGGGTGAAAGAAAAGGTACGAGATTTCTTTTTACCTTTTAGAACTCTATTTGAGAGATACAACACTGCATTTTATGAGCATTTTGGTATATTCTAATTTTTAGTACTTCGATTTGAGATGTATTTCAATCAAAAAAGCGACTGTGAAGCCAAATTATTCAGCACACAGATTTAGGCTGATAAATAACAGTATATTTTCAGTGTGGAGGTGTTTCATTTAGTTTTAAAGTGAAATTAAGAAACTATCTGCATGCTTTATTATAAAAAATGTCTATTACGTATGCACTAAGCATATTATGAAAAATTGTCTACTAAGTAACATTAACCATGTGCAAGAACATGGTGTTCTCCACATCTATTTCCTTCTCTTTTAGCAAAAAGCTTCGAGAAGGGAAAAAGAAAATTTTTTATGGTCTGTAGGTCAGGATATTAGATATTGGGATTTCAGACTCTATATGGTATACTGATTTCATGAGCATTTCAGTACATTCTATTTTGAGGTAAAATGATTTTTTCTCGAAGGAACTACATATGGCTCAGCATCACTTAGTTCACCTAGAATGAAATTTAAGAAAATTCTGCAGCAAAAACTGCAATACAATAATTACCTACATACTTTCCTCTTTCAGACATTTGGCCCACCAGCGGCCGAGCGGTAAAGTCGCTGAACACTGGTAGTTCGGTCCTAAGTTCGAATCCCGCTCGATGGCTGCATGGGCGTTTTCGTGGTTTTCCCCATGTGTAATGTGTATACGAGCCAGTTTCCCTTAGAAAGTCCTCCACGAAGGCATCCCTTCCCTTAGGCAGATAGCCCTCGAGGCTTTGCCATAATCACACACACACACTTTCAGACATTTTTCCTTTCTTAAATTTTAATTAAATAACAAATATTTGTATTGATTAAATGGTTAAATGACAATAATTAATATTGTGAAAAGAAGCAAAAGAGCTGCATTATTGGTGGTCGCTTTGCCTTTTAACAAAGTGTAAGCTTTTAAGATTTACACTGCTGGCCATTAAAATTTCAACATCATGAGGTAAAGAAAAAAAGAAAAAAAAAAAAAAAAAGATATTTATTGCATGTAAACAGTATGGCATGAAGACAAAATGATTAAAATTAAATTTGTAAGCATTTTGGAAGTTTACAGGGATGCGAAATAAGTAGAAATAGCTGCCACATGGCCCTTACACCACTGGCATGGAGTCAAACTGGGCTTGGGTGACAGAAATGGACAGCTCATTTCATGCTGCTTCAAGTCTATGCCACACTACATGAACGAAATTAGCTGGAGAGGGGTGGCAAGCAAGTCTCAACACATGACCAGATGTTTTCAATGGGTGGCAGATATGGAGATTATGCAAGACAGGGCAGCAATCGAATATACTCTGTGTATTTAGGAGGTTCAGAACATGACGTATAACATGTGGTCTTGCATTATCTTGTTGGAACATGGCATTTGGAGGCCTCGAAGACAGGGTACAAACACTGGGCGTAAGATGTCAGAAATGCACCCATCTGCATTACCATCAATCCAAACTATAGATGTGCGTGTCATGTACCCTATGGCTGCTCAAACTATCACACCAGGTGTAGGGCCCCTATGCTGATATCAAATGCAAGCAGGCAACGTGCTATTTCTCAGACACGTATATGTCCATCAGAATTCTGCATGTAGAACCAGGACTCGTTTGAAAAGGCGACATTGTGCCACTCCTGTACCCAGCTTTGTCGTGTGGTACACCAGAGTCGCCGTCTCTCTCTGTGCTGCATTGTCAAGAGAAACCGAAGTAATGATCACCCTGTTAACAGTCCACGCTGCTGCAAATGTTGAAGCACTTTATGAGCTGATACTGGAAACACTGCAAACATGCCCATTTCCTGACTAATGGTCCGTGATGTGGTCGTATGGTTTTGCATGGCTGACCTCACAATATGCCTGTCCACTCTGGCGTTAGTCATGGGAGGTTGTTGAGATCCTACATGCCCTTCAGTATGACCCTCAGCAATCCATTGATTCCATATTTGCATGACAGTGGTTGGATGTCCACCAGTGCAACCAATGATATCACGGAACGATAATCTAATATTTCGATAGGCAACGATCCTGATTCTATCAAATTTTGAAACTTGCTGGTAAGCATTTCCTCTTCTTATTCGAAGCATAACACGATATTCTGAGCAAACTCCAACCTTACAAAGTATTTTCCGAATGAGAAATCCACTACACAAATTTTCTTTTATGAAGTCCTTCAGATGTGGTTTCTCCCTACTGCATCATCTAAACACGCTGAAATAATCATTTGCATGTCCCGACTTTTTCTTCCTTTCATGTTATTTTGACCTTCATCAGATCATTCCTCCTATTAATTTTATACCACATATGCATATCTGAATAAATATAACTAAGTTCTTATTTTTTTTTTTAAAGTTCTGAAGTTTTTTAGGGACTTAGTTTTAAACTTAAATTTTAACTTAGATTCAGATTTTAAACAATCCTTTAGATTCTATGCTGGGATAGTGAGTCGTAGCAAGCTTTTTTGAATAACTAAATGCCTCTTCCTTCACCTCTTTTTTTAGTTTCTTATATAATCTTTTTTAATAATTTTTTATGCCCTACATATTAAAAAAATTTCCTGTAAATTATTTTATGCTTTGTTGTTGAATTTTTATGCAAAACAAAGACCTGTTTTAGAAAAGATATATTAGACCAATTATTTATTTACACTTTTTTTTAACTTTCCTGCAGTTTATGCATCAAAAAAAATTTCAAGCATTAGATTTAACAATACCACTGATATTCTCAAGTCTAACATTAAAAATTTTTCCTCCAAGATTTATTGCATCCAAGAAACTTTCACATATAAACTAATCAGCTAATATGTTTGGCTTTTGATATTCACATAAAATACAAATTAGAAATACTTCTGTAATAGTAAATATTTATTAACTTACAAAAGCATTGGCTTTCCAGCAATCTTTTCATCCTTTAAAACACATCTAATTTCAGTCTTGCACTCCTCTAGACGTTGAGGGTCACTAGCATCAACTACAAAGATAAGGCCATGAACCAACGCATAGTACTTCTTCCAAATACCTCTTATTTTGGGCCCACCTCCAAGGTCATAAATGGTGATATTGTACTTCCCATGTTTCAAAGAAATGCTTGAAAATCCAACAGTGGGAACAGCATCTGCTGTTGATTCTAGATAAAAATAAATAAATAAATTAACATTTTTACTTTTTTTTTTCCCCTTCAAAATAAACAGTAAATTCCATTATAGTTTAAGGTATTTTCTCCAACCTTTCCGTATGCCTTCATGGTGTAAATGGAAGCATACTCAATGTACTATATTTGAGAGGTCCACGGTTCGAGGGACGGTGACGGCATTGCACATTTATCACCTTCCTATTTCAATATACTCTAATGACTCTACAATTGCACCTGAACTAAAAGGTAGTGGATGATAATTCGTCACCACCAGGATTTGGCAACTGCGTCCCCTAAACACAGTTGCCCTTTAAAAAGGGAAATATACAAGGTTGTTCAATAAGTTCGCGGAGCGCCATCTATTCATCAATATTAGACCTAAAACTTCGATATCATTTTCATATTTGTTTTCTCTTAGGAACACGTCAAAAGTTTCATTTCGATCTGTTAATTTATTCATTGTTTAACCGCCCTTTATATCTAACGTGTTGTGCCTTTTTTTCAGGTATGGATAAAATTGAGCAACATGCAGTTATCAAATTCTTTGTAGAAAGGTTTAAAGGCAATGGAAATTCATACTGAAATGGTGAATGTGTTGGGTGAATCTGCTCCTTCAAAAACAATGGTTTGCAAGTGGGCTAGTTTATTCAAAAGTGGTCGTACCAGTCTTGAAGACGATCCACGAGAGGGACATCCAAAATCTGCATCAACACCGGAAATCATCGGAAAAATACACGATATGGTATTGGAAGACTGTCGATTGACTGAAAGAGGTTTAACAGAGGCTTTAGGCATTTCATTGGGCACAGTGAGCAGTACTTTGAGTGTTAATTTGGGTTTCAAAAAACTCTGTGAAAAATGGGTGCCGCATTCTCTAACGATGGAGCAAAAACACATTCGGATGCAACTTTGCCAGCAACATTTCGAGCGTTTTAAGAATAAAAGCAAATTTATCTGTTGATTTATCACAATGGATGAGACTTGAGTCTACCATCATGATCCTGAATCAAAACAGGAGGCTAAGGAGTGGTGTGAACCCGGCTCTTTGGTGCTGAAGCGAGTTCGTGTGCAAAAATCAGCCAAGAAGATGTTAGCATCAGTTTTTTGGGATGCAAAAGGAATTTTGTTTATAGATTACCTTCAAACTGGCAAAACAATTAATTTGGATTATTATTGCAACCTCTGAATCAATTAGACGAAAAAATTCGTGAAAAAAGACCCGGATTACAGAAGAAAATCATTTTCCACCAAAATAACGCACCTGCGCACACAGCTCAAAAAACCATTGCTAAAATAACTGAATTGAAGTACGAATTGTTGCAACATCCGGCCTATTTGCCAGATTTAGCTCCATCCAACTTCTGGCTCTTCCCACATCTCAAACAATATCTCTGTGGAAAACGATTTTCTTCAAACGAAGAGGTAATAGCTGCCGTGGAGGGATATTTTGCAGAGCTGCCGAAAAACCACTACAGTCAAGGGATCCATAAATTAGAAGACCATTGGAATAAGTGTATTGAAGTTGAGGGAAACTACATTGAAAAATAAAATAATTTTTCAAATAAAAATTGGTTTCTTCATTTCTGTTCCGCGAACTTATTGAACAACCTGGTATAAGGTATTTTCTCCCTCCTTTCTGCATACCTTCATGGTGTAATTAGAAGCACACTCAGCACGTATTAGAGAGGTTCAGGGTTCGAGTTCCAGTAAGGGCATTGCACATTTTCCACAGTTTCCTGAATTCAAAAAAAATTTAAATGACTCTACAAATGGTGCTCAAACTAAAAGGTGGTGGATAATAATTCGTCACCACCAGGATTTGGCGATTGCAGGGTTCATAGCCACATTTTAGTTAAAAAAATAAGCATCTATAAGCACTTTTCAAGCACATTTTAAGAAGAAAAGTAAGCACCTGTCTAATTACATTATACACAACTGCATAACCTTAAAAGAAAAATTAGACTTGCAATTTAAAATATTAGCAATGCAATATTTATTAAGAGAATGAGCATTACCTCAACCATGGAAAACAATTAACTTTTTTTAAAAATTTTAAATGACAGTTCAATTTACTGAATTAGTTTAGAATGAGAGGGAAAAAAAAACTATTCAGAACTAAACTATATTACAAGATTTAATGATGAAATTTCAGTTCAAAATATATAAAATAAACAATAATAAGCCATATTAATTGTATTTGCTTGGCACCTAATAATAAATACAATTTATTTTTCCACTCATATTAATATTTAAATAATTTAACTTTAATCAAAATTCTGAACATTTTCTAAATTTTCATTGCATAACAGTTTTCCCTTAACATACATTCCAAGCAAAGTAATTTAAGTAAAAAAGAGGAACATTTCTGAAATCAGGAGACGGAAAATTGCTTCATGCAGTCATCCTTTAACAGTAAAAGCTTAACTAACCCGTATACTCGGAAACTGCCAAATATTCCGTATAGTCGAGTGTAACTGGAAAAAGAGGAGGGAGCAGGAGATTGTAGCCGTTCTTTAGATTTCTTGGCTAAATAAACGATTTTGACATTTCGATATGTGCATCGTATAAAAATAGACCAACGGAACTGAGAAATATTCTGCTTAGAAAGAACAGTAAAACTCTTTTAAGTGTTCAGAAATACATCTCAGACTGAACATCAAAATTAATTATCTCTGCAAAATACCGCAAACATTATTGCGCAATACGTGCGGTGTAATTCTTCCATACGTGATATTATGCAATCGGAATCGGAATCAACAGCTGCCGGTATTCGGAGAATAAAGAACTAAATAAAGGAAAAGAAAGAAACATACTAATATGGGGTGTTTTCGATTCTAATTTTGAACAGACCGTTAAATTTCCGGAATAGAATCACTCTTCGCTTGGGTTGGGTAGACCGCAAAACTTTTAGTCCTATCCAATTCAGATTGGACAGTGACAAAAAAAAAAAAAAAAAAAAAGTCCACTGCTTCAATAATTAGCGATTTTGCGGAGAAAGGAGAGAACCTCCCAGCCTCCGTACTGTATAATGTATTTGGGAAAAAAAAAAAAAAAAAAAAAAAAAAAAAAAAGAAATTATTCTGACTATCGATTACCTTCCTTTTATTTAAGCCATTCTGAATATTATTCCTTAGAAAGCTAATCTGTGTAAAAATAAACCCATTTTTGGAAGTTTATCTACACTTCAGCAGCTACTGCAACTATATTATAAATATTCATACATATGCTCATAATATAGTAAGCATAACGATCATAATAAACACGAATATGAACTGACCACGCTGAACGATAATGTAAATTATTAAAATCTTGATAGAAATTCAAACATGTGTAGTATTTGGGTGGGAGGAAAAGAATACCGAATGTACCGGAATTTTCTACGGTTTTCACAATTCTTTGACCAATAGAACGACGTGCACCTGTCTGTACTCTTGCACGCACCATAGGTTACCTTAATGCAGAGAAAGGGGAAAAAGCTATTTCCGGGAGTATGATTCACCATCTGACGTTCCATATAAGGAAGAAAAGTTGTTTATTTAGTTTCGGCTTTGGTACGGGGAGAAAATGCACGTTCATTAAAAAAAAAAGCACTAAAAGCAAAAAATAAGCACTAAAAACAAAAAAATAAGGGCTTTAAAGAAAAAGTAAGCACCTATAAGGGTTTTTATATTTTATTTTCAAATATAAGGACTTATAAGCACTTGTAAGGACAGCTACGAACCCTGGATTGTGTCCCTAGCTTCCAGTCACCCTTCAAAACGGGAAGTACAGTACAAAATCTTTAATCCGGACGTGCATAATCCGGAATGATCTATAATCCAGATCTCAAAGCTACAAACTTTCTGCGCATGTGCATAATACCTTTATGCATCCGCATATGTGTTTAAGCATGCGCGTTTAATGTATAATGGACGGTATAAGCTAGGATAAAATTATCTAATTATCTATTTCAGTTAATGTTGCAGATTGCATTGTTCCTTAATCTTTTAATTGGATCCGGCTTATTATTTTTTGCAGACTGTTAGAGCAATTTTATAAAAAGTAAGTTTGAACTTTCGATTATGTCAAAAAGAGTTTACATTTCTGGAGCTGCCCAAGGATCTACAAAGCGAAAGCATGTTTCGATGTCCATCAAACAAAAAGTGGAATTGCTACAAAAAATGGATAAAGATATGAAGAAAGTGACAGAGAGATTAGTAAAAACAAAAAAATTTCGATTGACAAGTTAGTCGGTATTCTCGGCACAGCAATTATAGGACTCGAACAGTGGAACTTTGTAACTGAACAAGAAATTATGTCTGTTTATAGAATTATATTAGCACATAAAACGAAGCAACTTAACTTACATTGAAAGAAATGTTTAATAAAGTAAACAAATAACTATTAAGCTTTTTTTTTTTTTTTTGTAAATTTTGATATCCTTTAGATCATAATTGCTCTTTATTTCATAAATTACGGTTTCATATGTTTAGTTTTATAATTTCTGCATGCCATCTTACCAGATTTAAATTGATGATCTATAATCCGAAAAACACCTAATCCGGAATCGCTAAAGTCCCGATGAGTCCAGATTAAAGACTTTGTACTGTATATAACATATTTTGTCCTTCCTTTCTACATGCTTTTGTCGAGTAAATGGAGGTAAACTTGGCATGTATTTGGGAGGTCTGGAGTTTGAATTCCGGCGAGAGCAATATATATTTTTCACATTTCCAGCATAAAAAAACTTAATGACTCTAAAGTGGTGTCTGAACTAAAAGGTGGTGGACAATAATTCATATTCTCTCCCACCTTTCCTCATGCCTTCAATGGTACAACTGGAAGCACACTCAAAGTGTATTTGAGAATCCCGGCTAGGGCACTGCACAGTTTTCACGTCTCCCGCTTTAAAGTAACCTAATGACTCTACAATGTACTAAACACATTTTGTTTTCATAATAATAACATCAAAAAAGTAAGACATTTCATTATGCAATTCATTTTAGCTAACTAAACTCCACATAATTAAATTTAATCAATACATTTTGCTTTTATAAAACTTCTTTAAACTTTGAGCAAAAGAATATAAAGAAAAATATCTACTTCTCCCTCTATGACCTTCTTAAGAAAAAAAAAAAAAAAAAAAAAACACACAAAAGTCTCCAATAATGGCTTATTCTTCCTTCATAAGTCCAGAAAATAGAGCTTGCTTTTAATTAATATATTTTTAACAATTTTTACTACTCTAATTTCTAAAAAAATATAGTAGATAAAAGTTACATTATATAAAACAATAATATATAACTTTAAAAGATTATTTCAAATTAATTTACATATACACATATAATATTTAGACTGACCTACTAAGTTTAATAAACTATAATAATTAATGGAAAGCAGTTATCTACTACATATAGCATAATGTTTTTATGTTTTTGCTCACGTTTAGCCATAACAAGGTGCTCCTTTTATTAAAAAAAAAAAATATGTATGATCTGTCAATTCTATGTGTGCATTATTATTTTGCAATAATAAAAGTCATCATGCTGATTTCTTGTACATAATATTTTATATTATTCCTCATATTACATGACCATCAGATTATTGCATTAATCCCTTGTATTACAAGCTAATGTTCAGCAAATTCCCTCCCAAAAGACAACTTTATTATCTCTACTCTTTTATTATCCTGATGGACTGTGGATCCGGACAAACAGATTTCTACTACAGCAAAACTACCAAAAATTTTCACATCATACAAGACTGAGGGTGCACTCACCTTACATAACAGCAATACTGTAAAGCTCAATTTAAAAAGTTCATATGAATACATTAAGTGCAGAAGAAATAATGCTGTGTAGATGGCAAAAAAGAAAAAGACAAAAAAAATTACCTCCTCTAATCACATAACATTTGCTAGTTCAACGTATTTTGGAAATTACGGCCCAACTGATTGTTTATTTAGCTATCCTCATTACCAAGAACATTGCTCACGATTCATCACAGAGGAAAAAGACAATCACACCAGCATGGTGGGAAGGAAGACAACATATGTACAGCTTAGCCTAACCGAAGGAATTAAACCATAACCTCAGTTTAAAGCTTGCAATCAGCCTCTCCTAATCACCATACTATCCATTATTTGGAATTAACATGTGTGGTTAAATGTTTTTTAATATATATCATATACTTCACTTTAAAAAGTAACAGCTTTCATATGTTAGCTGATGGTGTTGTGTTTAATAGTTTTTAATGAACTAAAGAGACAGGCCAGATGAAAAGGAAAACAAACTTTTGAAGTAACTCTCAAAGGGAAACAAAAATTATTCAAGCAAAGCCAAATGATACTACTCTATTCTGTGTAGCACAGGAATTATAAAATGACTCCTTGAGCAAAAGCTAAAATTGTTAAGCACTAAACTCAACATAACTTTAGTTTACAAATGGGTTAGATTAATTTGTAATGACTCTTCACTAATTCCATGGCTTGTATTTATAATATGATCAAAGGAAGGAACTAGCAGTATAAGAATATTTCTGGAAAAAAAGGTTCTCAAAAATGCATTCTCAAATCTTAAAAATATATTTTCTACAAAGTTGGATAATGTTTTTGACTTGCTTTAAAAATCAGTCACCAATCAACTTCATGTGGAAACTAACAACTTGTATCTTTGGTTCTACTTGACCTATTTACACAACTGAAGCATGTGTCTAGATAAAATTAATAGTACAAAACAGTTAAACAAATAAATATGCAAAAATAAAATTATGAAGTGTAAATTAAATTATATTACATATTTTGTGTAATTATGTATGTAATTAATTATGTACATAATATTAAATTAAATTAATTAATAACCATAAAATTACAATAAAATGATGTATGAAATAAATAATAATTAATAAAAAAATACTCAAACAATATAAACACGAAATGAAAAATCATGGTACTTACGTATTAACGCAACCAGGCCAAAATTCGCATAAATCGCCAAATTTGGCGACCCTACTTACGACAACCCTACGTGTTATACGTAGTTTTTCGTAAAGAAATTATTTTTCTTACTGGTTAGATTGAATGCCCTGAAATACTTTAACTATGGGTATTTGGGATCTGCCTGCAAGTGAAAAAGATGCTGTTGAATTGTTGCAGGGATATGGAATTATACCGAACGAACGTACTTGTAAAAATCATCTTGACTCATACCGTCATCATTTTGACTCATACCTTATCGAATTTATATGGCGCCAAGCTCAAGCTGTTAATGGCGAAGACGGTTTTCAATCAGTGCTAAAAGCAATAGCCAAAAGATTTCCGCCGAAAAAATAATTCTGCAACTTATTCAAATTCGAAACCGGAAAGGTTTAATTGCTATTTTATATTTTAAAACAAATAATATAAAAAAACTGTATTAAAAATTATCTGTAATTAATAAATGTACATTTTCTTTCTATTCATACTTTTTTACTCAAACTTACAAATTGTGCCAACCTGGTTACGATAATACATAAGTACCAAAATCATTAAACATAAGATACAAATAAATAAAAACAAATTCACCAAATATTTATATAAATTACCACAACAGTATAGAACAATAAATAACAAAATGTTCTAAGAACTGAGTAACTAATATTCATTTAAAATTAATTATAACTAATGAGTAAGAAAACAATTACATATCTCAAAGACTGAATATGAAAACACAGTAATGCAGAAATCATAAGTAACTGATATACAAAATATATATAAAAGTATTGTTTACCTCCAACTAAATGCTTTGCTGTGCATGTTTTACCAGCATTATCAAGGCCTATCAGAAGCAAAGTTATCTCCCTTTAAAAAAAAGTAATAATTACATTTTTTTCAAATGATGGATGGCATAAAAATACTACACAAAAGTTTATGCATTTTAAATAATATACAAAAAAAGTTTTAGTTGAAAAAAAGTTCCCTCCCAAGCAAAGATACATTGTTACCAGATATTTTAATATATTTTAATTTTGAGTTCAACTGGCTTCCAAAAGTTTATGGGATGGTAAAATCTACAATATGGGAAAAGCAAAGCTTTGGTTAACAACAAATTGCACATGACAATTGTGTTTATGCATGGGAAAAAAAAAAAAAAAAAAAAAAAAACACAAGCACTGTATGCAAAGATTAAAACAATATTTAATTTCCATAAATTACATAATTTTTGTGATATCTGTAAGAATGTATAAAATACATATTAAAATATGTCAAAGAAATTAAGGCAATCTATCAAAAGAAAACAAATACAGGTATGAAATACCAGGAGAGTTTTTACATTAAAATAAAAAAAAAAATAGTTTATTCTCATAGTAGTTTTGAGAAATCTGTGCTTTCTTAGCGAAAACCCTGGCCGCTCAGAAGGTTAACATATTGAGCACAGTTTCAGTCCCTGAGGATCGACAGCGACACTGGTCCCTCAAAATTAAAAAATAAATATAGTAATTTCAGTGAAATTTCTTAAAACTTATTTAAAAAATATTCACTTTAATTTATTAAAAATTATTTACTTTTAGACATTTTTGGCACTTTGGGCACTTGTAAAAGACACAAGATTTTGCCTAATTGCCTTTTGGATCAAACAATCTAGTTTGGTCACTAGTTTCATTAGCATTTATGCCACAAATGTTCTTCTACAGCTGCGTTGCCTGGTCTAATGAATTATCATCTTCCAATGATGATAACCATAATACTTGACGATGTCAACATTTGGATGATAAAAAATACTTCACTCAATTTATCACTATCTCCTTCTTTTTCGAACTTTTTTGGTTTTATAGACAATAAATACTTTCAAAAACAAACAAAAAATTTTCTATTTTCAAATCATCTCTCTACTTCCGTGGGTTTTCTCCAACTAATTGTCTCTAGGAAGTAACTTTTTTGCTATTCACATACATGTGCATTGGCATATATTGTAAGAAAAATAAGAATGTGAAACAAAGTGGTTCTCTGCTCATTCTCTCCAGTGCTCGCTTGCAATATTGGCACCACATGCAATGTGTTAAAGCTAAAAACACACAAATAAAACTTATACTAAAAGAGCATGTGAAGTCCATATCTTCACATAAACTTTACAGATTGCTTATGCTTTCAGAAAAGTGATCAACTATCACAAATGCTGGCAATGGCCATTTTTGATTCAAGAAGACCTGTCTGAGACTGGCAGGAAATGATAAACATGTAAACAGCATGCTCAAGGGCCTCCCAAATGTTTTTAAATGGATTAAGGTTGGGGAAATCCATACAGTTACTCCATATGAGAAGTTACTCCATACATGAAGAGTAAATCAACTACCACAGTGCAGTCTCGCAATGAGGTGCAGGACTTCATCTTAATACCAAACAGCCAACAGTGAACGGTCTTTAAAGATGTGCAGCTGGGTGAGATATCACACTAAAATTTCAGGCCACATGTTGCTTCCACTTCTGAATGATGTTCAATGAAGTTCTCAGCCTGATTCGAAGTGCCTCGTACTCTCCAGACTGTTACATACCTTTCACCTGATTCGAGGGCAAATCTAGGCTCATCTGAGAACAGGACGTTGTGCCAATCTGAGATGTTCATAACACTATTTTAATCTTTCTTCTCTGGATTCAGCGGTTTATAGAACAAAAACACTTGGTACTTGTCCAGGTTTATGGTTCTTTCAGGTGAAGCATTTAGTATACAGTTCTACAAGATATTGTACTACCAAGTGATGCTGCAGCCATGGACGTAACAGTTGTGGAGGTCACTTGTCGATTCCATTTGGCTAACATAGCAATATACCAAGCTACTACTGCAAACTAGTTGTGTCTCACTCCACTACTGGCATTAGTTCCAGTATCTACCATACATGGCATGCATTATAACCAGAATTCCCAATTTTTAACATTAGACCTAACAAAATTTTTAAAAATTCAGCAAGAATATTTTGAAATTAGGACTTAGTGAAGAAAATGGGCCTTTTTAAAATTTATTTAATAGTTTTTAGCTTTAAAGTTTGTTTGTAATACATAATTTTTTCTCTAATTATACAGATTTCATAAGTGATTATAATTCTCATTTTTATTTATAATTGTTTAGCTATTAATATCACTAATGTACGCAGCAGTAAGAAAAGTGACTTATAATTTTAATGATAGTAGTAATTATTTTATTACTTTTATTATTATTATACTGGTGCGTAAAACATAAGTAGAATTTTTTTTTCCCCGTTACTCCAAGAGAAATCTTCTGAGAGGCATAAAATTCAGAAATGAGAGACGGCATTTTGTATTTAAACGATGAGGAAAGCATAGTTGAGTAAAAATGAATACTATGCGTACAGTATTGAATCAAACAAAAAACGACTTTATTGAGCTCATAGTATCGTTACACACGATTGTCTGTACAAGAGGAAAAACAACAAGCAGATGTTCCTTAATATGGGATATGCCCTCCCCTTACTGCAATGGTTGCTACATACCGTCTATCCATATTCAGCACCAGATTGTCCAACAGATCTTGGGGTAAGAGTGCCCATTCTGTTTCAATTTTTTGGGTGTTCCCCGGAGAACGTAATCGTGCCACAAGGTGTCTCCCCAAAGCATTCCCCACACGTTCTATGGAATTTAAATCAGGGGAGTATACTTGGCCAATCCATTCGAGTGATATCCTCACTTTCCACTAGCTTCTGAACAGTAGGAGTTTGGTGTCGCCGTGCATGGTCATCCATAAAAACAAAGTCTGTTCCAATGGCACCTCAGAACAGATGCACATGGGGAAGGATCACCTCTTGACAGTAGCGATCTACGGTTACAGAACCTCTGTCGAAAACATGGAGCTCTGTCTGCCAGCTTAGCATAATGCCTCCCCAGACAAGAACTTCAGGACCACCGTAACGGTATCTTTCTGCGATGTTATTGGGATGAAATCGTGTCCCGAACTTTCTCCAAATCAAATGGCGTTGAAAATCACTTGTGGCACTAAAAACTACTCTTATCTGTAAAGAGGACATAACTCTATTGATAAGATGTCCAGTTTTTGTGATCCTTGCACCACTCTAAACGATGGCCAACTTTCAAAGGGATGTAGTATTCAGGATGGCAGGCGAATACCCCACCTTTGTGAAGGCATTCGGACACAGTAAACTGTGACCCTCGTTGCTCCGTTACTGAGCTATGGCACTTGCTGAGTGGTCTCAGGCTCTTATTACCTGCAAGACAATATATCAGTCATCCACTGCAGTTGTTTTCCTGTGGCGGCCACCAAAACGCATTTTGTCGCCTGTGACGTTTTGTTCCTGACATTTGCATAGGTATGACCTTTCTACTGAATTGCGTGGCCATTGTACTGGTCGCAAGAACCCCTTTTTTGCAATTTCTTTATCTGATTAAAATTTACATTTGTTGTTTAAGTTTTGCACACCAGTGTATTTTTAGTTTATTATTATTTTTGTTATTATTATTATTATTTAGTTTGTTATTTTATTAATTTAATTTATTAGTTTTTATAGTTTTATTGAAATACTTAATTTTTTTTTCTAATTACATAAATTTTATATGTGATTATAATTTTCATTTTTGTTTATAATTTTTAGCTATTAATGTTACTAATGTAAAGTAGCAGTCACAAAAGTGGCTTATTATTTTAATGATAATAGTTTTACTTTTTTAATATTATTTTCTTACCTTTTTATTATTATTAAGTTCATTATTTTATTAGTTTCATTTTTATTTTTGTAACATTATCTGATTTTGTTAAATTATTTCTCTAAATTGTTTAATTTTCTCAGAATTTGCAAAATACTTTCTCAGAATTGTAAAATCTCAGACCTTATGTCAAAAGTATCCACTAACAACTCTACTCATCATCTCTGCAATACTCTTTGTAAAATATTCTATAACAGTTCTTTATTTTGTCAAAAAATTTTACAGTGTCAAAATCCTTTATAGCATCTGTTATACCTGCAGCAAAACTTTACACTTCACACACTGCTGTGTTCCATTTTTATGCCAATTTTAATTAGTAGAAGTTCTAAGTACTCTGGCAAAAACTTGCCTGCCCCGGTTTGAACAAGTTTACAGGTACTCATGACATATTTCATATTACAGACGGCTATAATTTCAGAACTTAATACAGCCACTTTTTTTTCTCTTCTATTACCAAAGCTGGATTAACCATTAAGCAAAATAGGCATGCGCTTAGGGTATCAAGGATAATGGTCACCACAAAAAGACCCTTTAAACTGAAAAGGGAGGCACCACAAAAAATTCTCATTGTTGGTTTTATCATTGTATGTTTGGTGTAGCTAAACCAAAACTGAGAACGAATAAATTAAGGGAAAAAAAAAAAAAGGTTGATCTTTACATTATGGTAACTTGGCGATTTTTTGGCGAAAATTTGGCGACCAACTCTCCTACAGCAACCCTCTATTTATTCTCCCCGCCACCATTTTGTCTTCACGAAGTAAAGACATGTTTCTTTTCTTTTCATCTACTGAACACTTCTTCCAACAATCTACTAGCCAAATTACACTTATGCTAGAAATTTTATCTAACAAAACTGCTTAATCATGACAAATATTCACTGCAAAATTGGGGAAAAGTGCACAAACTTAAAAAAACATCCCAGAATTGCACAAAAATGGCATTGCGCACACTGTTCACTATGTCCATGTACACTGCTTTTTTCTCATAAATTAGAAAAATTTCACGAAAATACATGACAATTTTTTGAATCTTTAAACCCGGTAAAAAGAACATATATGAAATTACCTGATCGCGAAAAAGTATATACCCTTTCCAAATATGAACATTTCCACATATAAAATAAATAAAATATCCAAAAACTTTTACCTCTCAATTATCTATTATATTATAAACGTCACCAACGAATTCATACCGCAAACATTACAAATGCTTAATGTCAAATATTTAAATTATTTCCATGCACGTTTACTTCAACTAAAACGTATACCAAATTCCTACAAACATAAAATTCACAAAATAACTATCATTTCATTAAAATATCACTAAACCATGTACATGTCGACTTATTTTTACTTAAAAAAACATCCCAGAATTGCACAAAAATGGCATTGCGCACATTCTTCACTATATCCATGTACACTGCTTTTTTCTCATAAATTAGAAAAATTTCACGAAAATACATGACAATTTTCTCAATCTTTAAACCCAGTAAAAAGAACATATATGAAATTACCTGATCGCGAAAAAGTATATACCTTTTCTAAATATGAACATTTCCCCGTATAAAATAAATAAAATATCCAAAAACTTTTACCTCTACATTATCTATTATATTACAAACGTCACTAACTAATTCATACTGCAAACATTACAAATGGTTACAAATACTTAGTGTCAAATATTTAAATTATTTCCATGCACGTTTACGCAAATTACTTTACTTCCACCTTACATTTAGAACAATGCATAAAAATAATATCCTCAAATAATTAAAAATACTTACTTACCTAATCTTCTTCAGAATCTTGATTATGTGTCCGATAAACTTTTCTTATTTCTGTTTCAGGATCTTTAAAATCATACTTATAGTTCACAGCAAGGTACCAGGTAAAATAAATAACTTAACATCTTTACTTCTATCTCGCACAACCTTAAAGAAGCACTTATTACTATCCCTTTCAATCCCACTAAATACCCATTTTGAATTCACTTTAGTTAGGGCCATGGGATCCAAAAATTAACGAACACTGTTTCACACAACACAGAATAAAGCCAAATACAAAATTTCCAGATTTTTTCCCGATTTCCCCCCTTTTTCCGATTAAAGAACCGTAATTCGTCCATTGATATCACATGACATATCCCATGATCTCTCATTTCCCTCACACAAAATAATGTGTAATCGGAACTGAGTACTGCTCACATTATTACCAAAGTCCCAGGTAGTAACCTTTATCGCCTCCAAATAGTCGCCAAACTACCAGTTACCATATTCTAAAGATCAGCCAAAAAAAAGATGAAGAAGAAAAGAAAAAAAGAAAGAAAAAAGAAACAGTTATACTGTAAATGTATTTAATCTCAATTTTTTTAAGCACTTAAGATACCTACAAGTCTTAATCTGGCCCTGTATAACTCTTATTATATTACGGATAACTGAAACTGTAGATATAAAAAAACCACTGTATAAATGACCATACAGTCATATCACAAAAAAAATATCATTATTTACTTTTGATACAGATGAGAGTTCATATAAAACAGAAGAGTTAATAATTTTACAACTCGCATAATTTACGTGTAAAAAAATTTACATTAAAAGAATAAAATAATGCTTGTAAAATGCTTTTAAAAAGTACAGATAAAATTAATTCTTAATATTACTTCTCAATAAACTAAGCCATACATATACATTAAAAAAATATCTGTCATGATACCTTTATATATGCATTTTGAAATTTACAATACGCATATACAGAAAGAAAAGAAGTGAAGTGAAATAGGCACTTTGGAATTACAGTAAAAAAATAACATCTATTCATGGCCTTTAGGGGAATCTTAAGGTTTTGAGACCAAACCCTTGGCTGCTTAGAGGGTTAAACAATCTACTTTGATACGCTGATGAGGAATTCATATTTTTCTAATTCAGAAGATATTTGAAATACCTTATGCCTCATCAACAGGCAATAACTTCCTCTAGTGTTTCTGAACTTTATTTACATCTAGATAAGTTTATACTTCCAAGCTGAAACTCACTAATTGCAGAATCAACCACCCCTCAGCATGTTTTTAAGAATTGCACAAACTCGGTATCCATGTACATATCGACCTATTTTCAATTAAAAAAAGATCTCAGAATTGCACAAAAATGGAATTGTGCACTCTCTTTATACATGTATATATCGACCTGCTTTCACTTAAAAAGTCAAAGAAAATTGACAAAAATCCAATTCTTTTTATTCTTGTAAAAAGCGCCAAGCAAACGCCAAACAAATAAGTGGCCGATTCTGCACTTTACCCACAATCCTTTCAAGAATTAAAACAAAAAAACCATCATTTTATTTTTAGGTACACATTAACTGCTATACACATACAAAAAGAAAGGAAGCACTTCCGCAAAGGATCCGTTAAATGTAAACATTGCCAAATATGTGCATCTGCCACTTTTGAATGAAATATGGAATTAAGAGGTGGAAGAAGAGAAATTTGACCTAAAATTCCCATTATTAGGGTAATTTTGTAAATGAAAAACAGAATTTTTTTTTTAATTTTCCAACTTTTAATGTTTTTCTAGAATACTGGTGAAAAATTTTCGACGACTTTTTGCTATTATTAAACTTAATTATGGAAGATGTTTGCACTTTACAATTAATGAAAATTAGCTTATTATGAGCCAGAAAAGATAACGATTTTAAAAAGTTTACAAAAATATTATATGTGGTGAGAACTCACCCTTGAACAATTACAATACATGTTTTATCAAAACTGTAATACTTGGTATTCAAAGAAGAATAAGTTAAAACTTGAAGTTCAACCATAAATTTTCATATATTTAGTCAGAAATAAATTCTAAAGTTTACAGAATTACATAAATATTTTCTACTCGTGTTTTATTAAGATACATCCCACAAAAGATAATTCACACGAAGACAATTTAGCAAATGAGGAATAACCTAAAATATAATATTCCAGTAATTACAAAATGTAGCAATCTACAATTCGAAAATGTTCATTTTAAAAAATTGGACAAATAACAATATAAAATTAATTTATTTCGAAGTTATTCCTCACCTATAAGAGCCGATTCTATGTTTCTTACATAAACAGTTTGAAAAAGCATTTCCCATTTCTTTGCAGTTACGTCATTCCTTTAAGAAAAGTATGAAAATATTTAATTCTATAAAATCTGTAACATATTTTTAAAATTTTTACCGAAGATTAGAAAAAATGTGAAAGAACTTTTTAAATAATAAATAATCGATCACTAGAATGAATACATGCTTCCCAGAAATGTAAACATTTACTTGGATGCGTTCTGACACTTAAGAGTTGAGAAAATAACTTCCTGAATACAGTCCGTATATTTCAAAACCTAGTAGGCTGTAAAATAGCATGAATAGAATTAGATCTTTAAAAGAAGAAAAGAAATCAGCTGGAGTGTAAATAATGTCAATATCTTAAAACAGTAAATATTTAATTTCTTACAATTAAATACTGTGGAGGCATCATTCGCGTTAATGAAGCGCCATCTGTTGAACTTCTCGCATGCAATTTTCTTTTCGCCAGAATGGCAACATGAAGCAACAGAGAAGAAAAAGAACGGTGACTGATTTTTTGTGTGTGTAGTTCTATATCTAAAAAATGTAAATAAATATTAATCTTATTGGAGTAAGAGCAATGTTTAACATTTCCTATGTTCAAGACATCCACACTGATTTACCCTAGAGATACAGGCTGACTCGTCAGCCATTTTGAATCTAAGCTTTAGGGTTGCAATTTAGGTGTGGAGAGGCAACTTTGGCTCTTTAGCGCTGTCCGCTAAAATTTAACATTCTAGAGAATCCGAATTTCAGCTTTTTTCTGCATCCATATAAAAATGTGTGGCTTTTTCCCGTTCTTTTGTCTGCAGTTCAGATTCTTTCTCGTATTTTTTTTTTTTTTTTAAATTGCCAAATTTCTCGTATGATTCAAGTTATTTTAAAAGTTTCTAAAACATTTTCACATATCATATATTTCAAATTTGTATTTTTAGTTAAAAATACTTTCTTTTTGAATTCCTTTATTGAATTTTCAAATTTTTCTTTTAAATACACGCAGAATGTTATTCATCTCAAAATGTATTTTTTGACAAGAGCTTTCCCTCAACCTCCATTAATTTAGGATAAGGTTTAATCTTTAATTCTCGTTTTTTATTTTTAATATGTTATTTGAATTTTGCTCACATGGAATCAAACGTCTATTACCGTAGCAAATTTGTTAAAAATGTTATTTTGTGTGTGTTTCCAGAAAAAGCTGCTAAACACTTTATGATTTTAAATACTGATTCAGGATATACACCTTTAAATTATAATGCTTTTAGAATGAAGTGCAGAATGCTATAAAAATTACTTCAATGCTCAGATGACTGTGGGATTCATAGATTTAATAGAGTAAAAAATTCCATTAAATATTTTTTTTTTCTTTATTTAGCTAAAAACAATATTAAAATAATACACACACAAATAAATAAAAATAATACCTTTACATACAGAATTTACAGATACTATTTACTTATAAATTTATTTGTTGTTGATGGTTACTTTTTATTATACTTGGAAAAATTATACTTACATACATTTGCTCTTAATATTACACATATATGAATATTTAAATGATAATTCCATAACATAATAAGATTCAATCTATATCACAGCAAAGACAATACTTAAATCACAGTTCTTTTTATTAATTAATTTGCATAAGTAAAAACATAAAAATATTATTTAGCTCCAAATCTATAAAATAAGTCCTCTAGTAACAAACATATGACAAACACATATAGTGAAAATAAAGATAAATAAATAAAAATGTTTTGCTTTTTTGTCTAATGTAGTGCAATTCAGTCTATTATATTCAAATTTTATTAAAACATACTGCAGTAATTGAATTTTTTCCATTATACATCAAACTGCTTTATATAGAATGATATTATATTAGTTTTACTTTTAAAACTAATATAATATAATTAATTCTCATTTATATGCAGAGATGTTTGAATAAATGCAAAAAACCATCTGAATAAATCTTAGCCAACACTATTCAGATAATATTCTTGTTTTCAAGGTATATCATTTTTATTTTGTTCTTTTTCCATTAAAGGAGCTAACCTAAGAGACTTATTTCATTTACATATATCTCATTGATATTATAAATATAGCTTAAACATGTTTTATGTGCATACTCAAAGGGGGGTGGGAAGCCTTGATTCAAAATCTGTTTTAAAGCAATAAGTAAATAAATAAAATACACTGGTTCTATTAGAATGTCAAAAAATACTGTTATGTATTCTATAAACAAATACAAATTATCACATCATACTACATAACCCTGGTACAAAAGAAGAAATGTCTGATTAGGAACATACTCTATTTATTTAGTAAAAAAGAAGAGTAAAACATATGCAACATCTCATTATGAAAAATCCTGTGTGGAAATTATTTTGATTAATTGATAGATGGCGCTAGCGTTGCGTGTTAACGAGACGCGACGTGCCTTCTGAATTTCCATAGACTCTCCACCGGCAGCTCGATAGATGGAATCTTTAGATGGTTCGCATACTTTAGGAACTACTTGGGTTCCTAAAGTATGCGAAGACTTATTTCGTAAAGTATGCACACACTTATTTGAAATTTCGATTTCGATTATGAAAGCATATAGATTTGTTTGTCAACCTGAACCACCGAATGTTGTGATCTATGATCTGTAAATATTGTACATATTAAAAGTTACATTTTAAAAGTGATTGATGTCGATTTATAGCAATCTTAGAATATTTTGAAACAGCTGGTGCATTAGGCCGTCAAAGAATTTGGATTTAGCACGTTGCAAGTGTGCGGAAGTCGGCAAAAAAGGTAAGTCTAAATTTTCTGATTTTGTAAGAGTAAAACTATGGCGGAAGAGTCTGCTGGTTAAATTAAAATCGAAAACGCAAAGTTATCAGGACCACCGTGTCCAAGATTCTAAAAAAATCGGAATCGGAGTTGAATAAAGAAGAAATTGATACAAGTACATTAGAAGAAAAGTTTAGATCAATTAATCACGAAATCGAAAAGCTCTGAGTGAAGTTAGATGCTCAGATAGAGCGTGACTTGAAATCAGAGGGCAGAAGAGTTTGAAACAGAAATTCTATCTTGTATCGAATACGAAGAGAAAATTCAGTTATGGCAATTCAGAGCAAATAAAAAATTGAAAGAATTGAATAAAGTAACAAATTCGGATAATGAAAACTCTCTTAACGAAACTAATTCTAAAATCGAAAGCAATAAATGTACGCGTCTCTGCCAAAAATTAACCATCGCTAAATTCTATGGAGATTACACCCAGTGGACAAGTTTTTGGAACTCTTTCAAGGTAGCAATCCATGATAATGAATCTTTAACAAAGATCGAAAAATTTAATTATTTAAAATCGTACTTATGCGGGAACGCCGCAAACGCGATAGAAGGCTTTTGCATTTCGGAACCAAATTACGATGAAGTTGTCGAAATACTTAAAAACAGGTTTGGCAGAAAAGATATAATTATAAACTCACACATGCAAAAACTCCTGAATCTTACCCCAGTAACCAAATCCAGTGACACTGTAAAACTTCGCAAACTTTGTGACACTATATCGAAACTCAAATACGCAGCTTGAAATCATTAGAAGTCACACCGGATAAATACAGTTATATGTTGATTCCAGCCATAATGAAAAAACTCTGCCGTCTGATATAACCTTAGAATTAATCGTAAAACGGATTCGTCATCCTTTTTTAATGTTGACGAATTATTGCACTTTGTTCGTTTAGAATTGGAAAGTCGCGAGAGAAGCCATCTTTTGCTCTCCATTCATAAATCAGAAAGCACTTCCTGTGTTTATAAAGAGAAGGGTGGGAAGGGGAGTATCGTTCATTCCACTTACCAGCTCTTGGCGCCGGTTAAAGAAAAACAAAAATACTAATTGCTGTCTGTTTGTAATACATCCAAACATGTTACTGAAGACTGTGAATCACTGACAGTTGATGAGAAGAGAAATTTATTACGTAAACATTCCCGATGTTACCTTTGCCTGAAATTAAACCACCGCCTAAAGCAGTGTTGAAGCGATCTCGTCTGCTCCAAGTGCAAAGGTCGACATAACCGTTCAATATGCTTTCGCGCTGAGAAAGAACGAAATGAAAAAAAATAAAAGTATAGAAGATTCGCATGTTCTTTCAGCATTCTCACACGCGCAAAATTAAAACTATTTCACTTCAAACGTGTTGCGTAACACTTCGAACAACTTACGCAGTCGGTTTTTAATTAGAGCTCTACTGGATTCAGGTAGTATGCGTTCCTTCCTAAGAAAAGAAATCGCGGATAAAATTGAAGCTTCCTGTATGTTATTCGAACAGAGACTCTTTCGGTATTTACGTTTGGAAATAAAACACCCATTAGAAAAACATTTGACGTTGTTAAGATAAAATTACAGAAACAAGGAAACACCGAATTTGAAAATCGAAATTGAAGCTCTCGTGACTGAACAAATTTCAAGTTCTGATTTACCACCTCCTAATCTGGATAGACACATTTTAGGCAAACAGTTAGAAGGTTTACAACTCGCAGATTCTTGGGATTGCAAAGAAAAAATTACTCTTTTGATAGGAGCTGATCATTATTATGATGTAGTAACTGGGAAACTTAAGCGCTTAAACAAACATTTAGTAGCTGCTGAAACGTTATTCGGTTGGTCTCTGCTAGGTTACACTAAAGGTACAACACACACGTCCACAGCCTTCAATATCATAGTTGAGGAAAATATAATATCTGATCAGATAAAGAAATTTTGGGAGCTTGAAAGTTTAGGTATAAAACCTGAAAATGAATTATCTGAACCATTAGACAATACCACAATGGAAAATTTCGAATCGGAAATTTTATACAGAAATTCTCGTTACAAGGTTAGGCTGCCATGGAAGTCTGATAGAAAATATGAGTTACATGACAATAAAGCGATTGCGCTGAAACGATTTGAGAAACTTGTAAAGCGATTTCAGAATAACCCTGAACTCTTTTATTCGTATCAAACAGTTTTCTACAAGATTATTTACAACAAAAACATCATTGAACCAGTTCCAGACACTGTTGATAGTGAATCTCAAATCACGTTTTATTTGCCTCACAGAGAAATCGTTCGTAGTGATCGAACTACTAGTAAACTACGTATCGTATTCGACGCGTCTTCACATGGACCTGCTGAAATCTCGTTAAATGACTGCTTGCATATTGGTCCAAATTTGTATCCTGACATTCTTGAAGTTCTGTTGGCCTTCAGGCTTCACCCTGTAGCATTTACAAGTGACATAAAGCAGGCTTTTCTTCAGATTAGAAGTAGAGATGAGAAGGACAGAGATGTAACGCATTTTCTGTTTACTAAAAACCCATTCGATGATCCACAAAATTTTATAACTTATCGGTTCACACGTGTGTTATTTGGCGTAAACAGCAGTCCATTTTTACTGGCTGCAACCATTAAACACCATTTGAAACAATATGAGAAAACCTACCCTGCCACTTGCGAATTTCCAAATGATCACATTTATGTAGATGACATCATTGGAGGACACCAAAACGTTGAACTTGCTTTCAATACCAGTTTAGAATGCGTCAGCATTTTTAGAGATGCTAGTATGATTCTACATAAATGGCACACCAATTCTCAAGAACTGCGCGAATTATGGATTAAAGAAGGTATTGAATCCGAGAGGAATCTAGTCATGTTTCGGAAGCTAGAAATCCTCCATTGAAAGTATTAGGAGTCGCTTGGGACAACCAAAGGTGACATAATTTACTTTGATGTAAAAAATTTTGATAACAATTTCTATCAAAACAAGTTAATACTAAACGTTTTGTCCTACGAGCAATAGGACGAATTTTTGATCCTCTAAGTCTATTATCACCGTTTGATCTTAGAGTCAAAATCTTATTGCAGCAAATTTGGAACACTTGC